GCGCTGGAGCTGGGGCCGCCGCTCAGCGCCGAGCTCGCCGGCCGCTACTACTTCAGGGTGGACCTGGGAGGGTACAACCAGTACAGCTTCAGCGAGCACGCCGCGCTCCAGGTGCTCGGTGAGTGGATTTGGGGTGAATTCTGGGGTTTTTGGGAAAATTCGGCTTTTTTGGAGGGAGGTTCTGGGGGGTTTTTGGAGAAATATTGGGATTTTTGGGGATTTTTGGATGGTATTATGGATTTTTAGGAGGTTCAGAATGAGATATTGGCGAAATTTTGGGATTTTTTGGGGATTTTTTGCGGTTTTTTTGGGGTTTTTTTGGAGCATTTTGCCCATTTTCGGCAGGTTTGGAGCCGCTTTGTGGGAGGATTTTTGGAGAATTTTGGAATTTTTTGGGGATTTTTGGATGGTTTTGTGGATTTTTAGGAGGTTCAGAATGAGATATTGGCGAAATTTTGGGATTTTTTGCGGTTTTTTTGGGGATTTTTTGGAGCATTTTGCCCATTTTCGGCACATTTACAGTCGCTTTGTGGGAGGATGCTTGGAGAATTCTGTGGATTTTTGGAAGGTTTAGAGTGATTTTTTAGAGAAATTTTGGGTTTTTGGGATGGTTTTGTGGATTTTCAGGAGGTTCGGAATGAGATATTGGAGAAATTTTGGGGTTTTTTGCGGGTTTTTTGGGGTTTTTTTGGAGCATTTTGCCCATTTTCAGCACATCTGGACTCACCTTGCAGGAGGATGTTTGGAGAATTCTGTGGATTTTCGGAAGGTTTCCAGTGATTTTTCCCACAAATTTTGGGGTTCTTTAGACAATTCTGTGGATGTTCAGGACGTTCAGAGTGAGATTTGGGGGATTTTGGGGCATTTTGGGGGATTTTGGGGCATTTTGGGCGCTGGAGCTGGGGCCGCCGCTCAGCGCCGAGCTCGCCGGCCGCTACTACTTCAGGGTGGACCTGGGAGGTTACAACCAGTACAGCTTCAGCGAGCACGCCGCGCTCCAGGTGCTCGGGGAGTGGATTTGGGGTGAAATCCGGCGGTTTTGGGAAAATTGGTCATTTTTGGAGGGAGGTTCTGGGGGGTTTTGGAGAAATATTGGGATTTTTTGGGGATTTTTGGATGGTTTTGTGGGTTTTTAGGAGGTTCAGAATGAGATATTGGCGAAATTTTGGGATTTTTGGGGGATTTTTGGGGATTTTTTGGGGATTTTTTGGAGCATTTTGCCCAATTTTGGCTGGTTTGGAGCCACTTTGTGGGAGGATGTTTGGAGAATTCTGTGGATTTTTGGAAGGTTTAGAGCGATTTTTTAGAGAAGTTTTGGGGATTTTTGGATGGTTTTGTGGATTTTTAGGAGGTTCAGAATGAGTTATTAGCGAAATTTTGCGATTTTTTGGGGATTTTTTGGAGCATTTTGCCCATTTTCAGCACGTCTGGAGTCACCTTGCAGGAGGATGTTCGGAGAATTCTGTGGATTTTTGGAAGGTTATAGCGATTTTTTAGAGAAATTTTGGGGTTTTTTGGATGGTTTTGTGGATTTTCAGGAGGTTTGGAATGAGTTATTGGAGAAATTTGGGGATTTTTTGGGGATTTTTGGGGATTTTTTGGGGTTTTTTTGGAGCATTTTGCCCATTTTCAGCAGGTTTGGAGCCGCTTTGTGGGAGGATTTTTGGAGAATTTTGGAATCTTTTTGGGGTTTTTGGGATGGTTTTGTGGATTTTCAGGAGGTTCAGAATGAGATATTGGCGAAATTTTGGGTTTTTTTGGGGATTTTTTGGAGCATTTTGCCCATTTTTGGCTGGTTCGGAGTCGCTTTGTGGGAGGATGCTTGGAGAATTCTGTGGATTTTTGGAAGGTTTAGAGTGATTTTTTAGAGAAGTTTTGGGGTTTTTGGGATAGTTTTGTGGATTTTCAGGAGGTTTGGAACGAGTTATTGGCGAAATTTTGGGATTTTTTGGGGTTTTTTTGGGGATTTTTTGGAGCATTTTGCCCATTTTCGGCACATTTACAGTCGCTTTGTGGGAGGATGTTTGGAGAATTCTGTGGATTTTTGGAAGGTTTAGAGTGATTTTTTAGAGAAATTTTGGGGTTTTTTGGATGGTTTTGTGGATTTTCAGGAGATTTGGAATGAGATATTGGAGAAATTTTGGGATTTTTTGCGGTTTTTTTGGGGATTTTTTGGAGCATTTGGCCGATTTTCGGCAGGTTCTGAGTCGCTTTGTGGGAGGATTTTTGGAGAATTTTGGATTTTTTGGGGGATTTTTGGAGTCCGGTTTTGGGGGATTTTGGGGGTTTTTCTGGGAATTTTAGGGAAATTTTGCCGATTTTCGGGATGTTTGCTGTCAGTTTTTGGAGGAATTTCTGGAATTTTTGGAGAATTTTGGATTTTCGGGGTGTTTTGAATCAGTTTTTTGGGTTTTTCAATTTGGGAAATCCAAAACTCGATTTTTGGGATATTTGGACCCAGTTTTTGGGCTGGAATTGGGATTTTTGGGACATTCAGACCCCATTTTTGGGCCATAATTGGGATTTTTGCCATTCCTGACCCCATTTTTTGGGCCGTAATTTGGATTTTTGTGCCGTAATTCGGATTTTCGCCGTTCCTGACCCCATTTTTAGGATAAATGAGTCCAGAATTGGGATTTTTGGGCCGTAATTGGGATTTTTGTGCCGCAATTGGGATTTTCGCCATTCCTGACCCCATTTTTGGGATAAATGGGGCCAGAATTGGGATTTTTGGGCCGTAATCGGGATTTTTGTGTCGTAATTGGGATTTCTTCCATTCCTGACCCCATTTTTGTGCCGCAATTGGGATTTTTGCCATTCCTGACCCCATTTTTGGGATAGATGAGGCCAGAATTGGGATTTTTGTGCCGTAATTGGGATTTTTTGGCCGTAATTTGGATTTCTGCCATTCCTGACCCCATTTTTGGGACGTAATTTGGATTTTTGGGCCATAATCGGGATTTTTGTGCCATAATTCGGATTTTCGCCATTCCTGACCCCATTTTTGGGATAAATGAGTCCAGAATTGGGATTTTTGGGCCATAATTTGGATTTTCGCCATTCCTGACCCCGTTTTTGGGCCGTAATTGGGATATTTGCCATTCCTGACCCTATTTTTTGGGTCGTAATTTGGATTTTTGGGCCGTAATTGGGATTTTTGGGCCGTAATTTGGATTTTCGCCATTCCTGACCCCATTTTTGGGACGTAATTTGGATTTTTGCCATTCCTGACCCCATTTTTGGGATAGATGAGGCCAGAATTGGGATTTTTGGGCCGGAATTGGGATTTTTGTGCCGTAATTTGGATTTCTGCCATTCCTGACCCCATTTCTGGGATAAATGTGGCCGGAATTGGGATTTTTGGGCCGTAATTGGGATTTTTGTGCTGCAATTTGGATTTTTGCCATTCCTGACCCCATTTTTGGGATAGATGAGGCCGTAATCGGGATTTTTGTGCCGCAATTTGGATTTTTGTGCCGTAATTCGGAATTTCCGCCGTCCCCGACCCCAATCCCCGTTGCCTTGCAGAGGAGCCGGCGCTGGAGGTGCCCCCGGAGCTGGTGGC